ATCTGTCTGGAGGCAGCACAATGGACCGCTTAAGATGATACGAAAACTTAGCACATGATTGAAAGCCACAAAATGGATAAAGGAGACCGATTTTCATTTATTTCCTATTTATTTTATTTGGTTTTCGGTATTTAACTTAAAAATCAATATGCTTTTTCAATCATCATCGTCATATTCCCGAAAGAGATAAAATGTCGAAATCAGCCACGCGCAAAAACCTCTGGACGTATTAGAGGTTTGGAAGGCCGAGAAGGACACAACCACGTGACCGTCAACGTAACCCACACAAACCCAGTCTCATAGGGCACTCACTGATTAAAAAGTAGTAGTATTAGAAGAAGAAGAACACACCCTCTTTCTTCAACATTCTCTCATCTCTTTAATGACATGAAAACGATGCTTCTTCTTATATGACCCACTTCGAAATTGATACCGAAATTGGAAAATCTGATAAGTTCAAGAGAACAAAGAATAAAGCAAAAGGCTGCTAAATCAACGCGCCACCATATTGGAACTGCACAAATAAAATTTTATGCTAATGAAACAATAAGACTGCCAAATCAAATCCGCCGCCATCCAAGTGAAGAATTATGTGAGATGATCAACTAATGCAACACAGGGAACATGATGCATCATCCTTTAACCTATCAAGTTGCAAACTTTAGAGAAGATAAAACCCAAAACCAAAGATAGGAAAACGTTTCAGCTATAATCAGATATGACTTAATTATTGACACAGACCTGCAACCGATGTTAGAAAGAGTTCCAACATTCCAGAGCAGTGCATAAGAGGAAAGCCATGGCTATAGTTAAAAACTTAAAAATCCCTTCTTGAACAGCTTATCGAGCAGGAACCACAATATTTTAAGGTCTTAGTACAATAATGGACATGGATAATAAACCAACTAAATCTGAGAAACTAATTCTTTCACAAAGGTTTGCAATTTAGAATATCTCATTACATTAAAAGGATCTATAAAGGTAAAGATTGAGAATTTCTGAAGAACTAACTGATCAAAGTTCAAAAAGACCATAGCTCATATCAGGCAATCACTCCACAAACAGAGAAGTTTCAAAGAAACCAAACCTAATAAAGCCTATTGTTTTTCTTCTTCGAAGTAACAGTCGTCATTTCGGGTTTCGGATACTTCTCTGCTAAGATTGGATCTAACCACTTGAGGGGATGACGATTGAAGAAAGGCCAGTTAGGGACAGTGATCATAGTCGTGAAAAGCACAACTCCGGAATATATCAGCATCATCGTCCGGAACGAAGACGTTGCATACCCAGCAATGAAAGCAACTCCGCCAAAGACTAAGAGCAGAATCTGCATCAGCTCCTCAGCTAGCTTTTGCCCTTGCCAATCCATCTCTATAATTTGAAAAAGTCACCACAAGTTTCCATAAAATCAGAACCCTTGATTGAATTTTTGCAAATCAGAAACCCATTATGAAAATGCTAATTCCTAGCCTAAAGGACACCTTAATTACGTCTACAATGAACACTAACTTCGAGCACATTTCCCATTTCTAAACTAATTAGCAAAGATCGAGTCTCAATTTAATTCGTACCTGCAAAAAGGATCAAACTTGATCGCCTAGGAAGAATCGCGTCCGGAAAAACTAGATCCCAAGCCGGCAAATGGAGTCAAGACGAAGCCGGCGAATATCGACTGTCCAGATTCGCCGTTGTCTTCAAACCAACGGCCTAGATTCTACCAAGTCGTAAAAACGTTCTATAAAAACATACCGTGCTAAACGCCTTGCTGTTTCTATGTTCCGTATCGAAAACTTGCAGTCTGTCATAACACACAATGAACACCGTGTCGTTTCTCGAATCCTCGGTTATTAGGCTCTGATGATATATCGGGCTCATAAACATAACGGCCCAGTTTCTCATAAGTTATAGAAAGGCTTTAGATACAAAGCAAAGCAAACATTTTCTTTTTCGTCGACGGATAACAAACTCGCCGGAAAGACTCGGGAGAGAGAGCGAACGACGGTGGTCCGTTATCAAAGTGGGCGGGAAGGTTTGTTGAAGATGATCGGCCGTCGTGCTGGAATGAATCGAGTTGTTATGAGGAGGGATGACTCCTTTCTGACTCGTTTTGTTGACTCAGTATTCTATTTCTTCCGATTGGCTGAGTTTGAGATCCTGTTTGTTCTGTTCATCTTAATAACCTACGTCATCTTCAAAGATCTGGTGATTTCTCCCCAAATTCGTAGAATTTTTTTCAGTATCATGACGATTTCGTAGTAATTTCTCTCATGTTGATTGCTCCTCTGAACGGTTTTGTTATTTTTGCAGACGGCGAGGCCGGAGTACAATCGGATTCTTGTGGATAAACCCGGTGGATCTGACGTCTGGCCGTTCTAAAAATGAAGAAAAAATAGGAATTTTGTTTTGAATGGTTAGTACTACTCTTGTTACTGTAAAACGGTGTGAGCTTGTACACGGCAATGAACAGCTTATCTTTCTTCTCTTGTACATGTCTTTGTTCAATTGGTCAGTGTAATTCTCCTTCCATAGTTATAATGCATCGTTTTCGTCAAATTCGTGATCTCGCTCGGAATGTTAATCTTTGGGAATCACAAGTAACTGATTAGTGGGGATAAGTAAATGGAATTTAGCATCTGTGTTTCAGTTGAGCTCAATCTACGCATTAGGAGGTGATGAGATAGTTTCATGGTTAAGTAGAGTATGCGTTTTTGTTTCATATCACAGAGACTTATCTATGTTGTTTAAGCAAGAATAATGGACTGAAGGAAGAATAACCCAAATAGCATTACAGAATCTCTAGGCATAGTTTGTGATTCGATATAGGGAGAAACAAGTCTTGAGATAAATAGCAGAGTAGAAGCCAGTTGACCAATCAGAAAATGAATATGTTTAGCCATTACATGCTCTGTATTGTTGCTGGTTGTTGACGTTCCCTGGTTGTTTTGGTCTCTCTATAACCTGGCCAAAGGGCGTGGAGTGTCCCATTCGGTGGTAATATGGTTACGGGTGATTTCCTTGAGAGACCGGCAGCCACTTAGTGCCATGGTCAGCTCGAACTCATCACGTAGCATTTGAAGCACCTTTCTCACTCCAGCCTCTCCTTCAGCAGCCAGTGAGAATACCACTGGTCTCCCAATCTGAGATTGAGAGGGCAATTATCAATAATGTGACAGTTGTCAATGGTTTCAATCAGTGTAAATGGAAATATGATGCTTACAAATATCCCTGAGGCTCCAAGTGCAAGTGCCTTGAAGACATCAGTGCCACGTCGAACACCACCATCCAAGAAGACAGGAATTCGTCCTTGTGTCGCCTTGACAACCTGTACACACGAGAACAGTACTGCTGAATTTGCTGACCAGAAACACTTTCATGAGAACACAAATTGACTTTCATAGTCCAGAATGATCCTACCTCTTCCAGGGCTGAGATAGTAGCTGGCACATAGTCAAGCTGGCGAGCTCCATGGTTTGACACAATGATTCCTGCTGCTCCAGCTTGAACCGCTAACCTTGCTGCAAGAGGATATTTATAGTTGACTTAGTTAGTTATTTATCAAAATTAAGTGAAGGAAACTTTTGTCTGTCAGATAGTAACTCACCATCCTCTCCCGTAATAACACCTTTGACAAGAATTGGCATTTTGGTGATTGTCTGGAGCCACTGGACGTCCTGGTTTTGTATAAATGAAAGTTAGAGCAGTCAGAATCAAGTTTCAGTTCTGGTTTGTTGTTTTTCTTTTAAGCTGTTGAACTCTCTTACCTTCCAGCTTAAGGTACGGTCAATTTGACCAGCAACATATGAAGCCAAGCCAGAGTCATTGGCCTGCACGTGGACACATAGGAACGTTTAGGAAACATAAACATAACAAGTCTGCTTCAAAACTTGTTTTGTGACAATCATGCTCAGACTATAATGCTAGATAAGTATCTGATAGATGCTTACCTCATCCATCTTTCCGAGGTCAAGACCTTCAAAATTCTTCAATGTCAGGTTTGGAGGCAAAGTGAATCTGTAGTAGAAGAAAGCACATCGTTACTCTATAATTTCTAGCTATCTGTTTGCATGTTCGAATCAAATCAAGCTCTTGTCACATTTCATTGACATGGCTTCACCTGTTCTTGATATCAGACTCTCTGCGGCCTAGCCTTGGGGTGTCTACAGTGAGAGCAATAGCTTTGAACCCAGCCCTTTCAGCTCTTCTCACGAGCTGCTCAACAACATTCCTGTTCTTGTATACCTACTCAGAACAATCATAACGTGTGAACCATCAAGTCTGACCAGGTTTATCAGGATGTACGACAAGCGACTGAGATAACTTACATAGAGCTGGAAAAATCGAATCCCTGGTCCTGTGGAAGCAACTTCTTCAACACTGGAAGTAGCCCATGAAGATAGTGTCTGAAAGCATCACGGAAATACTCAAACCAGAGACATGGGGTATGCGTGGATATTGGATTAAGAAGCTCTAAACACCTGAAAGTTTAAGTATCTTTGCTTAAGATGAAATCTTTCGTAATAAAATAATAACATACCATGATGGTTCCAGCTGCAGACGCAGCTCTAGCCGTAGCATATTCCCCTGCATTAGTTTCCAGTAGAGTCTTTAGAACAAGGCCTTAGTCTTTTGGTTTTAGCGGTGCTCAAAAAAGTTTTCACTATCTACTTAACCAAGTTTCTACAGAATGTTTCGCTTCTCGCCAGAGTGTTTTGCAGGAAAAGGCAGAAGTCATTTACCTTCCGGGTGAGCCATCTTTTGCATGGCAGTAGGAGCAACCATGATCGGCATCGAGATCTTGAACCCCAAGACGGTTGTTGTCATATCAATCTTGCTCACATCAATCAGAATCCGAGGCCGAAAGCTGTTAAACATCCCAAGTTATGTATACCAAATAACAACGTGTTCTCATGTCTTAAGAAAAAAAAAAGAAGAAAGAAAGAAGAAGAACTCACAGGATCCTTGCGAAAGCGTTTCTGTTCTCTTGAAGAGTCCATTGGTCTTCTGCGCCAGAGGCATAGTAGTCGTATACCATCTTAGGCAACTTCTGCTTTGCGATAGCTTCATACTCGGTAACGTTTGTGATCTCCATTTTCCGATGCTGGTCTGTCAAAAGAGCAAAAAGGCCTGAGTTAATAAGTTAGCTGTAGTGAAACTCAAGAGATAGTGCACGAACGCAAAACACAATCTGGTTTGTTGTTAGTCTTAACACACAGAATCTCACACACCTTTGATGGGGATGGAGCTCTCGGGAGAGATGAAGGGTGTGACTGGTAACGCTTATATTATCATATATCTCACAATGTTTTATTATTGGTTAAAAGTTAAATACACCTGTAATGTATTAATTGGCTTGTGAAATATATTTTCTAACAAGTGAAAATTGTTGGCAGAGGAAAAATAATATGGATGAGAAGCTGAAGGTGAAGAATGGATGAGAAGATACGGACAAGGATCAGATGGGGTTGTGTGTATCTAATTCACTAGCAACTTGTGTGTTCCCTAAATTTTCTTTCATATTATCGTGCTTAATCTCATGGGGAGAAAAAAAAAAAAATCGTAAACCAATTGGTTTTCATTCTTTTGAAAGGACATAAATAAATCCGAGTGGATGATGATATGGAAGAGAAACTAAAAAGCGTGCGAGGAAGAAGAGCCGGATTTTACAGGCCTAGTTATAAACCTTAAAGCCCAAATACTATTGGGCTTAACAATGGGAGAAAGAGTCCATAATTTGTTGATGCAGATAATCAAAGTATAGTCGTTTCTGTGAGTGTGCCCGTGTTAAATATTTAAGCTGTTGTTTTGATTGAGAAGATGGAAAATGCTCAGTGAAGAAGAGCACGAAAAGGGGGAAAAAGAAAAACAGAGACAGAGTCCATAACTTTTATACATTTATCGATTTCAATGGCGGACCGGAGCAGGGGCTTTCTGAGATGATTTTTGGGACATGTGCTCTTACATTCTTCTCTATATCGCCATTTCAACCGGTCAAATCTCTTATTCAGTAAGGTTTCACTTAAAATTTCACAGCTTCTCTGTATCTACGTTCTCGCATCGTTTTGTTCTGTGCACTTTCGATTTGTGAACCGATCTCTAGTTGTCTCTATTGTATAAGTAAGAAGATTGTACTGAAGGTAGAAGTAGCCAAATAGCATTACAGAGAGAATCTGTAGTCATGTTTTGTGATTTTCGATATAGCGAGAGAAACAAGTTTTGAGATAAAAAAGGAAAAAAAGCAGAGTTTAAGCCAAGTATGAAGTGAGCAATGATAAGAATAAAGTGTAGCCATTACATGCCCTGTCTTGTTGCTGTTCTCTGGTGGTTGTTTCTTTTCTTTCCTCTACAACCTGGGCAAATGGCGCGGCGTGTCCCATTCGGTGACAATGTGGTTGCGCGTAATTTCACTGAGAGACCGGCACCCACTTAGTGCCATGGTTAGCTCGAACTCATCGCGTAGCATTTGAAGCACCTTTCTCACTCCAGCTTCTCCTTCAGCAGCCAGTGAGAATACCACTGGTCTCCCAATCTGAGACCGAGAGGGCAATTATCAATAACGTGACAGTTATCAATGGTTTCAACCAGTGTAAATGGAGATATGATGCTTACAAATATCCCTGAGGCTCCAAGTGCAAGTGCCTTGAAGACATCAGTTCCACGTCGAACACCACCATCCAAGAAGACAGGAACTCTTCCCTGTGTCGCCTTGACAACCTGAACACACGAGAACAGTGCTGAATTTGCTGATTCAAGAACACAATTTGACCTTTATAGCCTTGAATGATCTACCTCTTCCAGAGCTGAGATTGTTGCTGGCACATAGTCGAGCTGGCGAGCTCCATGGTTTGACACAATGATCCCTGCTGCTCCAGCTTGAATCGCTATCCTTGCTGCAATGAGGACAATAATTGTTGATCTTGTCAAGTATTGGAAACTTTTAAGTGATGGAAACATTTCATTTTTCAGATAGTAACTGACCATCCTCCCCTGTAAGAACACCCTTGACAAGAATGGGCATGCTGGTGATTGTCTGGAGCCACTGGACGTCCTGTTTGTGTAGATGGAAGTTAGAGAAATCTGAATCAAACAATCAAGTTTTGCGATGCTAATTTATGGTACTCTTTTACCTTCCAGCTCAAGGTACGGTCAATTTGACCAGCAACATATGAAGCCAAACCAGAGTCATTGGCCTGCAGGTGGACACATAACAAGCTCAGGAACACTTAGGAAACGTAAACATAACAAGTCTGCTTTAAGACTTGTTTCATGAGTAGATCACTGCCATTATTCAGACGATATATGCTTACCTCATCCATCTTTCCGAGGTCAAGACCTTCAAAGTTCTTCAGTGTCAGGTTTGAAGGCAAAGTGAATCTGTGTAGAAGAACACAAATCGTTACTTCACAATTTTTTTTGCTATCTGTTTGCATGTTTCTATCCAATCAACTCTTGCTGTATACTTTCTTGCTATGTATTTGCATATTAAATTTCAATCAACTCTTGTCACATTTCAACTGACTTGGCTTTACCTGTTCTTGATATCAGACTCTCTCCGGCCTAGCCTTGGGGTGTCTACGGTGAGAGCAATGGCTTTGAATCCAGCCTTCTCGGCTCTTCTCACGAGCTGCTCAACCACCTTCCTATTCTTGTATACCTACTCACAACGATCATAACTTGTGAAACCATCAGATGTGACCAAGTTTATCAGGGTGTACGACAAACCACTGAAGGTACTTACATAGAGCTGGAAGAATCGGATCCCTGGTCCTGTGGAAGCAACTTCTTCAACACTGGAAGTAGCCCATGAAGAAAGCGTCTGAAAGTATCATGGAAGAAAACAAGTCAAACCGGTATGCATAAATGGTGGATTAACAAGCTCTAAACACCGAAAAGGTTAAGAGTCTTGCTTTGAATGAAACCATTTGTGACAGTATAATATAACATACCATGATGGTTCCAGCTGCAGAAGCAGCTCTAGCCGTAGCATACTCCCCTGCATTAGTTTCCATCAGAACAAGCCTTAGTCTCTGTCTCTATTGATACTAAAGCAAGTTTTCACTCTCTATAACATAACTCGGTTTTACTGAATGTCTTGCAGGAAAAGGCAGACGTCATTTACCTTCTGGATGAGCCATCTTTTGCATGGCAGTAGGAGCAACCATGATCGGCATCGAGATTTTGAATCCCAAGACGGTTGTTGTCATATCAATTTTGTTCACATCAATCAGAATCCGAGGACGAAAGCTGTTAAAACATGGCAAAGGTATGTATATCAAATCACATCTCTTGTAAAACCAATAAAATAGTGTATCTTATCTTAAGAATAAAAGGAAAAACTCACAGGATCCTTGCGAAAGCGTTTCTGTTCTCTTGAAGAGTCCATTGGTCCTCTGCACCAGAAGCATAGTAGTCGTATACCATCTTAGGCAACTTCTGCTTTGCGATTGCTTCATACTCGGTAACGTTTGTGATCTCCATTTTCGGATGTTAATCTGTCAAAAGAGCATAAAGTCGTGAGTTTTGCGGAATTCAGACATAGTCATATAGCTACGATTCTAATCTCCAGAATTCAGCACAAGTGTTTACGTTTGGTCTTAAACACAGAATTCAGACATAGCTAATACACACCTTAATGAGAATGGAGCTCTCTGGAGAGATGAAGGGTGTGACTGGTAAGCAAAGCTTATATTATATATATCTCAATCTTTGTTAGTTAAATGTTAAATATTTGTGTTTGATTAATTTGTAACTGTGTAAAACTTGTTGGCAAGTTGGGAAAATAATATGGATGAGAAGCTGGAGGTGAAGAATGGATGAGGAGATACGGACAAGGATCAGATGGGTTTTGTCTAATCCACAAGCAACTTGTGTGTTCCTTAGCTTTTCTTTCATATTATCGTTCACAATCTCGAGGAAAAATAATAAATTCATAAACCAATTTGATTTTTCTTTCTTTTTGAAAGGACATAAATCCAAGAAGTTGATGAAACTGAAACTTGAAAAAAAAAAAAATTTAAAAACGCGTGCGAAGAAGAACGAACATTCATGGGCCTTATAAACAGAAGAACGAACATTCATGGGCCTTATAAACAGAAGAACGAACATTCATGGGCTTTTTATGTCACAAAATGCCCATCATGCGCGACCCGTCGAGGAGGATAATCAAAGCGGGACCCACTTAAAGTCGATCTTCTCTCACCGTCTTTCCTATATAGAGCTGTTGTTTGCGAAGATGGAAAAGTGTATGCTTCAGTGAAGGAGAGGAAGAAAGGAAAAAGAAGGAAAGCAACTGGAAAAGTGGAAGAAAAAATTAAAACAGTGGTGACAAATTTTTTTCCGTGATCGGAGATCATCACAATCATCGGTGTCAATGGCGGATCGGAGCAGAGGCTTTATGAGAGATGAATTCGTGACCTATGCTTACATTCTTCTTTATATCGCCCTTTCTAGCGGTCAAATCTTTTTCAATAAGGTTTAACTAAAATCTCACAACCTGTCTTTCACTAGATCTGTGCTCTCGCATCGTATTGTTTTGTGCTCTATCGAATTTGAAAACCAATCGCTAGTTTTCGTAAGGATTGAGCTGCGTCTGTGGGGATTTCGGTGCAATGTATGATTTTTCTGACTCTGATTGATTTCCTGGAAGTTAACTAGCAGATTTTAGAATTCGTGGGTAGTGTACAAATCAATGCGAAATGTCTCCGGTTTAAGGTTTGATCGCGTTGCGTTTCCTCTCGTTTTAATCCGGTGCATCAGTTTTTCAGATTAGGTCCTTGTCCCTCGCTTGCTTATGAATTTCTAGCTGTCCTGTGATGAACTTCTTTAATCCCTAAGAATTGCTATAGTTTTGTACGGTAGATAGTAAATTGTAGTCACATAAGCTCGGTTTAAGTCTTGAGGGCTGGTACTGAGATCAGTTGATTAGGTTCAATGGCGGCCTTATGATTAGTTATGCGTTAGAGACCATCGAAATTGCTAAATTATTAGTCATGCGAAAGTTTGCTTCATGACTAACGTTCTTGTCTCTGACTTGCTCTTCTGCAGTGGGTTTTGTCATCTAAGGAAATAAACTTCCCTTATCCGCTTGGATTGACTTTACTTCATATGATCTTTTCCTCTGTCTTGTGCTTTATTCTTACCAAAGTTCTTAAGGTATCCAATCTTGCAACGATCTTATTTTATTTGTTCATAAGTAAGAATGCATATATTTCTCACTTTTGGTCCCTTTTTTTTTCTCTATTTATTTCTCCATGAAGATCGTGAAGGTTGAGGAAGGAATGACACTAGAAATGTAAGGAAGAGAGAGACTTAGTAAGGAATTTTGTTTTGGAGTAGTTGAAAATACCCATAACTTAAAATGTGGTACTGATCTTTGGTTTAGTAATAAAGAACTCACTTTATGTACTCAGATATGTTACATCAGTTATTCCAATAGGTGCGATGTTTGCAATGACCCTCTGGTTGGGAAACACTGCCTATCTGTACATATCAGTTGCATTTGCCCAGATGTTGAAGGCTATAAGTAAGAAGACCTTACTGCTCTTGCTCTCATTTCCTCATAAGTCATATGTCTACTTCTTATATCTTTAATGAGCTGGACTCTGGATAGTGATATAATCTTGTATCATACTTGCAGTGCCTGTTGCTGTGTTTATCCTTGGAGTAGCTGCTGGACTTGAAATCATGAGCTGCCGGATGCTTTTGATAATGTCTATCATAAGTTTCGGTGTTCTAGTGGCCTCTTATGGGGAATTAAACATCAACTGGATCGGAGTGGTTTACCAAATGGGTGGTGTCGTTGGAGAAGCCCTGCGTCTTATCTTCATGGAAATTCTTGTCAAGAGGAAAGGCATCAAATTAAACCCAATCTCACTTATGTACTATGTGAGCCCCTGCAGGTAAGTGAAATCGAAGAAGAACTTATCTTCAATTCTCTCATTATGTAAAGCCTAAGGTGTAAAATTAATCTTTATGTGCCTCCTTTCGCAGTGCTATTTGCTTGTTTGTACCGTGGATCTTTCTAGAGAAATCGAAGATGGACGGTAGTGGCACTTGGAACTTCCATTTCGTAGTGTTGACCCTTAATTCCCTCTGCACATTTGCTCTCAACTTGTCTGTTTTCCTGGTGATTTCTCACACGAGTGCTCTCACTATCCGAGTTGCTGGTGTTGTCAAGGATTGGGTGGTTGTTTTGGTCTCAGCTCTTCTTTTCGCCGACACAAAACTCACAATCATCAATCTTTGTGGTTACGCCATTGGTAAGTAAAAAACAAAAAAAAACTCCTCACATAACCAATTGTCTTTATAGTCAAAGAGTTTAACTTCTCTTATAATTGTGCTTTGTGTTTTACACGCAGCCATTGCCGGTGTAGCTGCTTACAACAACCATAAGTTGAAGAAAGAAGCATCCAGAGTTACCACTGAAACTCCAGGAGATGGTGAATCTATACCGTTGGTATCACAGGCTGATTCAGAGAGGTAATCTTTGATTGATTGTTTTGTGATATGTACCGTCCAATTTCTATTAACTTATACAAAATACTCTGTACCTGAACAAGAAAAAATATTTAAATCAATTTTTCTCCAATTGTCATGATTTTAATCACAACCTTTGGTATGTGTACTGTAGTTGATATATGATCGTTGAGCGAATATGTTTGATTTGTTTCCTTTCGAAGAAGTAAAATATTTTGAAATTTCCTTCGAAGTAGAACTGAAAAAAATATTACAGAAGTAAAAAATTGTCGCTAAATCGTGTTTGACTTCCTACTCGCTCCAAAAATGGGCCTCAAAGCCCAGTCCCAGGATTTCCTTTTTTTTGTCGTCTTTCCTTTTTTGTTTATCCACCTGGAGTTTATATTTAGAATTTTAAAAAGGAAAAACGGAGAGGAGAAGGAAAAAAATAAAAAAAGAGGGTAAAAACGAAGCCTCGCGTGGGGTTTGTTGCTGGGCGGGTCTCTTCCCTCGGCAGTTACCACCATCGAATCGATCTCGTCGTCTCTTCCAAACTCTCGAAATTAATAAAATCTTCCAGAAATTTCGAGTTAGAAAATTGATGCGAGGAGCCCGAAGCTCGTGAATTAGAGAGAAAGAGAAGCGGGGAAAAGCGCGTGGTTGTGGTGGTGGCGAGAGATGCGATCGCAGCTGTTGGCTTCGCCGTGGCGGCGAGTCAGCGATGAGCGGTTGCTTCGGTGTTTTTCTCCGGCGGAGAAGAACCGATTTTAATGGGATTTAAGCTGCAGATGAGCTGGATGCCGAGTCTACTGAGTCAGAAGCGGAGGAACGGTCCTCCTTTAGGGTTGCGGAATCTCGGCAACACCTGTTACCTCAATAGTGTCCTTCAGTGCCTCACTTACACTCCTCCCCTCGCTAATTTCTGCCTTAGTCACAATCACTCCTCCCACTGTAAGTTTTTATCTCTCCCTCTCGAAGATTAAGAGATAGTTCTAATGCTTTACAAGCTGTTTTTTTGCTTCGTATTTCATTTGTTTATGTGCTCTGTGTTGGAAAATCACATTTGGTAGGCGACTCTTATGGGGATGGGGAGCGGAAACGGGAATGTCCTTTTTGTTTAGTTGAGAGAAGAATAGCAAGGTCTCTTTGTGTGGAACAAGCAACCGATGCGCCAGTCAAGATTTCAAATTGCCTCAAAATTTTTGCCGAGCATTTTAAGTTTGGGCGTCAAGAAGACGCTCATGAGTTCTTGCGGTATGTGATTGACGCATGCCACAACACGTCTCTCCGCCTGAAGAAGTTGCGATCAAAGGGTGGTGAGCCCTTTAATGGCAATACTGTGGTGAAGGAGATTTTTGGTGGGGCTTTGCAGAGCCAGGTTAAGTGTTTGTCATGTGGTGCTGAGTCGAATAAGGCCGATGAGATTATGGATATCAGCCTTGAAATTTTGCACAGCAACTCGGTGAAGGAATCTTTGCAAAAGTTCTTTCAGCCTGAGATTTTAGATGGCAACAATAAGTATAGATGCGAAAGGTAAGTGGTTTGATTTGGACTCATGTAGTCTTCTTTGTCTTCCAGAGTGTCTTTTTTCCCTTTTTTAACTGTTTCATCTGTGTAGCTGTAAGAAACTGGTGACGGCGAGGAAGCAGATGTCAGTTCTCCAAGCGCCTAATATCCTTGTTATCCAATTGAAAGTAAGAATATCATGTTTCTGTTTACAAAGTTGAGTGTAACTTTAAGTAGAAAAATATTTTAAACGTTTGTCTTGATAAATTTGTTTAACAGAGGTTTGAGGGCATTTTTGGTGGGAAGATTGATAAGGCCATTACATTTGGTGAGATTTTGGTTCTCTCGGGCTTCATGAGTAAAGCCAGCAAGGTACAAGATTCTAACACTTTTTAAGTTTGTTGTCAGTTTCTGTTATTTCGGGTAGATGCTTCCGAGTTCTTTTTACATGAACTCAAAATGATTCCCGAAGCCTGCATCTACCTCTGAAATCATCATAGTGCTCTATCTTGTGAAATTGTACTTTCCAATTCTTACTTTTCTATATCGATTTACTCTTGCAGGACCCTCAACCAGAATACAAGCTTTTTGGGATAATTGTGCATGCAGGATTTTCTCCTGAATCTGGGCACTATTATGCCTACGTTAAGGTTCTTTTCTGTCCTTTTTTTTTCAGTTTTTAACTCTCATATTGCTTACTGACGTTTTTCAATTGCCATGTTTAGGATTCCTTGGGTAAATGGTATTGCTGCAATGATTCGTTCGTTTCACTCTCCACCTTGCAAGAGGTTTTGTCAGAGAAAGCTTATATTCTGTTTTTCAGCCGTTCCAGCCAGAGACCAGCATCTGCTAAAACTCTGGTAACATCCAATGGGACTACGTCTCATGAAGTCAATGGCTGCGAGACATCAAAGCCCCAGAGGTTTATTGGTCCCCTTAATAATGTCAACATGAAACCACGGGCCGAGCAGTCCTTCCAGAAGGATAACAACCTGGCTTCTTCAAAGCCCCATAAATTTATTCGTCCCCTCAAAGATGCTAATATGAAATCACGAGCAGAGCAGCCCCTGCACACGAATAACCTTGTTTCTTCCAATGTTGAAAAGGCTCCGTTGAAGCCACATGCGAAAATCACTGTCAACCTTGGTGCCAAAAGGGTCTCTTCTCCTACTGTCAGTGGCAGACTTTCTTTCCACCAAGATGAGAACATAGCTCCAAAGGCGGACAAAGAGAATATCGTATCCGTTTCGCCAACTAGGGTTTACACTTGCTCGGAGAAAAAGTTTGGTACTGAAAATGGTGGCAATGGAGTTAAAGAAAACGGCAGTGCACAAGGTAATAATGAAGTTACCTTGCATCCCCACGAGCGTAACGGCTCCAGCAATGGGGGTGATCATCACCACAAAGATAACTTACTTCCATGCGAGAGTAATGGTTCAAAAAATGGAACTGATCACCAGGAAATTGAGAAGGAAGGTGTTAGTACAACCCAATCCAAAGCCTTGGGTAAAATCCCCTGCATTTTGCTTGCCAAAGACGAATCATCTCGGGTTAAACTTGAAGCAATAAAAGAGAGGTAACTTCGGGTTGTGCCTTTGTTTAAATACTCCTATTGAATTTAATGACATAGGATAACTTACAATGATTATGTTTGCATATTTCCTCAGTCTAAAGAAAGACACTTCGTCATATTTACGGTCATGCGGATGGTATGATCAAGTAGAAATCTCCATGCGTGCCAAGAAGAGATTGCGCACAGAGCAATCAGGAGGAGATGGCAACAACTTAAAGTAAGTGAAACCCGAGTATTGTTTTCTGTTCTCTAACTTATCTCATATTTGCTCGTATAATAGCTAGAAATTGCACATATTGAATTTGCAAAATCGTCTTGTTTGTGCAGGAGGAGGTTGATAGCAGATGTAAAATCAAGTTTATCCCAGATCCCAGATGAATTGAAAGCAGAACTCGCAAACCGGCTCTTGAGAATTAGCAAGAAGAAATATTCGTGAAAGAGAGTTTTTCTATTTTCTTATTAATTATAACATTTTTGAAAGAGTAAAGTAATTATCGGAAAAGAAATAGAAAACCAAAAAAACAGGTCTCATTCTGTTCTGTATAATATGAGCTTCTCGGAACTTTTTTCTTTTTGGGGTCCCTATCGACGACGATGATTCTTTACACTCCTGGAAATTAATGTTAAGAGCGTTCTTGGCTTTACAGATTTTGTGTGATCTTTTCTATTAACATTTGACATTCAGGTGACTTTGTTACAACAAAATAAATAGTTTTTTTGGTTGGTAATACACTAGTACATAAAAAGATCGATCAAAGATGTAACAAGAATGTTTCAGATTCAACGAGTAGATGAAAAATTAAACAAACAATTTTAAAAAAAGTTGAAGGATGATTAGGCCAAGACAAGAATGTTTCAGTTTTACATTATAATGAGCAGGGAAAGATTCAACGAGTAGATGAAAAAATAAACAAACAACTCTGATGCTGAGAGATTACAAACAGATTTTCTTTTACAAAAGTTGATGGATGCTTAGGCCAAGAAACGTATGATTTCTTCGGTCTTCGTCTTATTGAAAATAGAGAAAAAAAAATGCAAATTTTGGGATCGCAAATTTAACGGTCTAAGAAGAAGAGACTCTGTTGATCTTGGCGTAGTGGCCAAGAGACCAGGAGGATGAGCCTGGACAAGAAGAAGAGAGTCTCTCTGCAGTGGCTCTGACTAACTCCTCAAAGTCAAAGTCTTCTTCGGAGATTGTGGTCAACATGTTCTTGAATGGTTCTCTCGTTGCCGATATCAACTTAGCCGGAGCCACCTCGGTGATGAACCTAGAGGTCTTAACTGTTTCCATCGGTGATTGAGATTGAGATCTTTTGGATCGATAAGAGAGTGTTGGGAGAAGAAATATTCTTCGTTGGGCATGGGAAGGGAAAAAAGGATAGAGAAATTAGAGACTGCAGAAGAAGATATTTGTGAAAGATTTTGGTGAGAGTTGAAGTGAATTTATAGAGTAGTGCATACATGTGAAATACTTGCATCTACAAAAGGACAAATACTATCTGTGGAAGAGTACTTACACTCCCTCTCGTTTTTTTTTTTTAACATCAATTACACTCCCTCTCGTTATTAGACAAAATCTTTACCCAATTTTTCGATATGATTACATATGATCTTTCATCAACCACCAATTTTCACAAAATGATAGTATTATTTTCTTATCGCCAAACCTAATTATCTGGTATTGTTACAAGGGAAGAGATGTGTACTAATTCACTCATTGTCAAATAATTTTGAATTTAAATTCATAAAACGTAACATCTAATCTTCAAATGTCAAGCGAGTATCAGTGTACCCATGTTGTACTTTGAACTTAAAAGATGAAGAAATCGTTGGATTACATCTAAATGGTTTCACGAGAAAGGTTTCACAATCTAAATCGAAAAGTTCAAACGCTACCCAAAAAACAAACGCAAATCAAGATTATGTTTACAAACACACTGGTACGGATGCAAAATCATCAAGTGATAGGTACGAAGTTGCTTTCAAATTGACGACGGTGTAGGGACTCTTCATTTATAATCAAAAGCCAAAATAAATTGGCGACAACCAACGCCGTTTTAGCTTCGAGTTTCTATTCTCAAATTAATTATACATCTATGAATTTTCATCTTTCACTTGTTGTTCTCTATATCCTAGAGATCGTTTAAAGCTCATATATATATATATTTCATCTAATATTTCCCAAGACTCCAGATTACAGTGTTTCTTTTCAGATCAAGATAGAGTGTGGTTTAATGATCAAAAAGAATTGTTGAATAGAAGATTCCCATCATTGTAATATATGGCTGTATGATACGATACGATACATACCCATTAAAATTACTATATTTATAAAACCCTAAAAACAAAAATTGATAGCAACTTAACAGTAAGTGGTAAGTATCATAATTGGCCAGCCAAACTTTTTAGCATTAATTTCCAGAAGATGACATATAAATTTACATTGATAGTACACATACATTAGTACATTCCCGGCTCTTAACTTAACTCAAAAGCCAGAATATGGAAGGCTAGGCGTTTAGTTTTTGTTTCTATTAAAGTTCATGGACATCTTACTCGAGACAAAACTGAAATAAATCGATCGATATATGCCATTTGTGTATATATAAGACGTAGAGTTATTAACATATTCAGTTCGAAAGTGTTTTTTTTATTATTATTATTCAAATTGAACATGAAATTTGATATGTTTGGATTGTTGACAACCAAAAAAAAAGTAACTCTGATATGTTTGGATCATATCGGTTTAAAGGTCTAGTACTACAGCAGAAAATATATGAAGCACTATATTCAAATCCATCTAGACAAGTAAACTCAAATTTTATGGCTATTTTGATGAATCAAATATCAAATATATATATATATATATATATATATATATAGAATAAGATCGAATTAAGACTATGAAAAACTCCAAAATTGATGTTACTAAACACGAAGTTATAAGTTTGTAAATTAAATGGCAAAAACCTACTACGTTTTTAATGGCCTGATGGGACAATTCACATAACATAGTTGTTAGACGTCGTACCATATTTGAAAACTGATATGGTATTATAGAAACCACAGAAACAAAATAATTTGAAGGACCACCTTTATTATATGGCGGAGAAAGGTAGCTGCTTTAATACGGTGTCGCATGGGACCATTTTGCTTCTTTAAGCTTCCTGCCACCGCCTCGATTGCACAGAAAAAGGTTTACTTTGGAATCTTCCTATATATCAACTGAACCCTCTAATCGAGTTAGAGTGTTTGCTGACGTGAGCTCCACTCTTGCCGACGTTAACTCTAGAACTTGCAAATCTTGTTGAAGTATATGTCTACTACATACATACATGATACATGTAAAGATTCTAAAATTATAATACTTTTCCCATTTCCCACTGTGAAGACCTGTCTCTAATATTCCACTTATCCACAAAAAGAAAAAAAAAATGAAAAATTCCTCTATTAGCTTCTGCGACCATCTACATATATTTCATTGTATTACTTAATTACATATTTCTGTGTGATAAAGTAGTGGAACGAATATAAAATTCGAATTAAATCGGAATTTGGAATTTTGAAAAATTTGGTCAGCCCCTCTTCTAGATTATATTCTGAAATCTCAACTCTTCGATTCTATTCTTGAATTAGGGTTTTGGTCAAATTCCCAACCATGCATATGGGAAATGGAATCGAGGATAAAATAATATATACAATTTATTGCATATGTGTGCCTATAAATATCAATACATCTGAACTAGGCTTTACCACAACACAAGAGTCAAAGAAAGAGGTAACACATTTAAAATACGTAGCTCTAGATCGAGAGACGACGATGGGGGTCTCTTGTTGTATCAGATGGTCTTGCATGAAGGAATAGAGAATGGGGTTGAGCCAAGGATGACTTGCCGGGTTAAACACAACCGGTTTATGACCATTAGTTTGGTCCCGAACACGAGTTGATTTGTGTCTGGCAAGTTGACCTTGGCTCTGTTTCGTTCTCTTTTCCTCCATGTTAGATTACAGATATATATATATATTTGGTCATGGATGGGATTAACCGATATCTTATGAAACTCTCACGTTACGTATATAAATATTCATCTCGTTAGTTTCCCACGCTTCAAATGTTCGTTTAATTATCGCTTCAAATGTTCGTTTAAGAGGTTTCAAACAAAATGTTCGTTTAATTACAGTTAACTACTTGCATATTTAGGAAACTTAAATACCTCTATTGGTTAGGTAAAACAAACACAAGAACTTTATTTTGATTTATTTTTAAAACATTTCGCTAGAATTTAGAATCTAACATCACATCAAAGAAAATATATAGTGTCCCTTTTTTATTTTTCTTTCTTTCTTTCTTATTCCACTTCAATTAATCATCATTAAAATAAAGTAATCGTATAAGTAGTATATATTTCTACCCTGAAATTAGTTCGTCACTTGTTAGGATTTTAACTAAAAAAAACATGTGGTCTTAAGATTGAGGTTTAAGATTAACTACTTTGTTCTTACCCTCAAACCACCTAAACATAAACCACGAAGTGGAATTATAGATTTGATACTCGTATGATGCTTGAAGATGCGACGCGTGGAATGATCGATGCAGCGGTCTATACATTTTGATGCGATAACTAGCTAGTGCTACGAATACAATACTATTCACATTTCAACTATTTCAAATTCTATTCGATCTGTCTTGAGGTTGGTCAAAATTGCTTTGGTCGCCCCAACCAATGGATCGAATCTAATTAGTAATACTGTAAACTCAATTTAAGCATATATCTATTCGTTAACTAGTACGTATGATCTATTCGCGAACCAATATAGATGGAAATCTCTAGCTGCGTCACAGGGTCTTGCCAAGACGTAATGATTTCTAATATTAAATATTCATACAAAAAGTGTTTTAAAAGAGGCGTAGCAAAAACAAACATATCCCGTACGTAAGCCGAAAGTTAGAAATGAATTATTGAATGGAGACATAATTAAATATCATTGATTACTAAAGTCTAATCAAATATCAAACTTTCTTCATTTCTGGTACGTATTACCAAATTTGGATAAAATAGTTATTAAGATTGATATATAAGAGCAAACAAAACAAGACAGTTACCTAAAACGTAACTTCCTGACGTCATAATCACATGACTATATTGAATGCTTGAGCAACTATTTTGTCTACTATGACTTGATTACTTGAAACACTTACATTATAATAAGAGGCAAAGATCTATCCTTCCTTAAAACAGAAACAAACAATGAACAAGACCGATCAAAACGGCATTGACGGCTCAGCCTTAGAGCTTAACCGAACGGAGAGAGCGGTAGAGACGGTCCTCCGAGTAGCATCAATGGCTCTAAGTATTGCGGGGCTCGTGATTATGATCAAAAACTCTATATCCAACGACTTTGGCTCTCTTTCTTACTCAAATCTTGGAGCTTTCAAGTGCACCTTCTTTGCTCTCTTTTTCTTCTTGCTTCACTTTGAGAGGAATCAATCAATGAACATTGTTTGTTTTTATTGTTCCCTTCTTGTAGGTATTTGGTGAATGCTAATGGAGTCTGTGCTGCCTATTCTCTTTTTTCTGCTATCTGTGTAACAGCCATTCCGTGTCCAATAAGCAAGCTCCGAGTATGGGCATTGTTCTTGCTTGACCAAGTGGTCACATATGCGGTTTTAGCGGCTTTTACCGTATCTGCAGAGACAGTTTACTTAGCATATAAAGGAAACTTAGCCATCACTTGGAGCTCTGCTTGTGATTACTATGGAGTCTTCTGTCACAAGGCACTGGTTTCAGTTCTATTTACATTCCTTGTGTCTGTTCTCTACATGTCGCTTTCACTCATCTCTTCTTATAGACTCTTCAGCAGATTTGAAGCACCTAAGCAGTGAATACAAAGAACACATAAATAGGAAGTCAAAGGTACAAGAAACTGAAAGAGAAACATGTTCTGTTTGGTTAAAGTGAAAGAGAAGGTTGAATAAAAGTGTAACTGAAATGTAACTTTTTTATTCCCCTAATGTTAACTAGATATTCTATAATTTTTCATACAATCACACATCATGGTGATCAGAACCAAATCATATAAATTATTACGCAATGCAGATCGTCCTCGGCGCGAACTTCTTATTAGAGAAAAATGCAGAAAAATGGAGGACCATATGGTTAGGTGGTTTATTTTATAATACGTACAAATGTTAGAATTCCTACAAGGTGAATGTTAGAATCCGTACAAGGTGATAGAAAAATTAGCACCCTTAACCAAAAAAAGAGCTAATTTGTAATGTAGATAAACTCAAATTTATGTTGCCATCATATAGAAGTGTTAGGAATCAAATGTGAATAAAAGACAACAAACTGCAATCATATACAAACAGACCAAAACTCTAGTGATCCCTTAAACCATCACATAAGGCCCATTTACAGGTATGGGCCGACATTGAATTAGGCAGCCATAAACGTTGACCATTTGACTTCTAGAGTGCAATTGTATAGATTATTGTAGTACTACTCCTAACCTCAATAAATTATATTCTATTATTTGTAGACGTATTAGGTGTGCATGTTCCTTTGTGTGTTGGTTATGCCAAAATTAATTCGTAAGTAACATTATTTCTATTTGTTTTAGTCTCCAGTTAGGTTTACTTATTTATTTAAAATGTTTTTAACTTAAAAAGGGGCATAATTCAATGTATTTGAAAACCCATATGGTATGTTGTTTTATTCAATAAATTGGTCGTGGGCTCCAAGGTGATGATTAGGAGCTTCTGTTATGTCTGATCTCAGTGAACGTTAGTATATGTGATATGACCAATTTAAACTTGTTAAATTAAAGTGCCTTGTACTGTCCAGGGACTTTCATTAGACACAATAGTACTTACAATAAATTAACAAAATTAATCATCGAATCAAACAAAATTCAAGCTAGGATGCATTGCGCCTCCAAAGGGACTAACAATATGGTTTACACTCCAATGTGAATTTATTTGGGCGTCAACATGATTCCGATGCCTTTGTAGTATAGTCCTGGAAAAAAAAAGAGTTAATGGCATTTAGTGGTATTACTCAAAAAAAAAATCGTTGAGATATTTTGTAAATTAGGTAGTCCTTTAAATTCTTCACAGAGTAATAATATCACAGCATAAGTTTGAATGTGAGTTTTTAGAATGGTTTGGAATGTGAGTTTTTAGAATGGTTTGGAATGTGAGTTTTTAGAATGGTTATATATGTGTGTGTGTGTCTGTGTACACTAAATTATAGACATCTTATAATGATGAGATATTTTTTTCTTTCTGTTAGAAGTAGTTGTGGCAAAAAAATGCAACTATTCATCACATGAAAGGTTAAGCATTATTTCATTTTGAAATAATGGTTTCTCTTAATAATTAATACAGGTTGGATTCTTTGCCCCCCATCAATTATTTTCTCTAATTTTTTTTCCTTCCTTTTGCAGTGTCTTATTCGTAGCATTTGAAATCGAAACAAATAAAAATAAAAAAATTATAATATGAGTTACTCATTCGAGAATCGATATAATAAATACTAGTAAAGTAATTGATATGATATATGCATGCGTTACATAGACACCATCACCCCAATTGTGGATCGCAAAGGTAAAACTACTTCATTGTAATTCTGTGAGAATATAAGAAGGTATAATTATGTTCGTCGACAAGAGTACAGATGGATCTTTTTATGCCAAATTAAACCACGTGGTTAAGCAATAAAGTGCCATTACTCCTAATGCAAATCGCTTAATGATATATTGACAATTTGACATTATAGTGTTCATTTACCGGTTAACACATATACTTGGGGTAAGATCCTCGTGTTTTCCTTTTCCTGACATCTTGGGATTACAGTTTTTGTTTCACGATTTTCTTTTGCATCATGCAATTGTGTTCCGGTATGATCTGGCATATATTTCACTTATTTACAGTTCATTAATGATATTATAAAAGACTATATACAAAATTTCTCTTATATAAGCAAATTTTTTGAAGTTCACCTAAACCAAGGAAATGTATGGAATATTGGAATCCTTCAAGACATATCAAAAAAAAAAAATTTATATGTTCTTTAGTGTCGTTTTTAGGTGTGCATCGAGAACCGCTTATCATTTTGCGGATTATTTAGCAAATGCCGCCCTATGTTCTTTCCTCCCAAATGAACTATCTGCGTTTTAATGAAATTTGTTGTTCAAAAGAGAAAACCAATCATTTTTTCTGTGTAGACTCTTCGCTATACGACCGTTTAAGCCATTGACTAACCGTCAAACTCTCCTCTTATCTTTCTTAAGAAAACATATACCGTATTTTATAGATTTAAAATTATAGCTTTCTGAACCTGACGGACGAGCAATCCACGAGCTTATAAGTTGATAGCTTCAATAATTGATTCTTTTTTAAAACAAAGATGGTAGTTTATATAATAAAAAATAATAATAATAATTTAGGTAGGAAGTAAATGGGAAGTAATTATTGGAAGAATTATTATCCTAATTATATATTAGATTTTAAAAAGAGAGGCCCACAGAGAACAGATTAGAAAATCGATAGAAGCGACAAAGGGGGGGTCCCATGTTGGCCACGTGGCAGACAAAGTAAGACTTTTGAGCCGACGTGGGTCCCGCAACGGTAAGAAGCCATAGTAATGGCCCATCACATGGATCCAGTTCCCATATTCTCTTCAACATGCGAATCCCTCTTCAAAATTCTGACCCACCCAAAAATCAACGATGAAGTTTTATGTTTTAATATTAAATAATTATTCTTAAAATGCATCGTTTTGAGAAAATATTAATTAGTTTTCATCATCATTTTTTGTTTAACAAAAGGTACTAAAATACTTTATTCACAATTATTTAGTACTCTATATCCTTAAGTTGCCACATTACACTGCTTATAAGATATGAATTTTCCTTTCAGACTTTCTCCAAAAAAAAAAAAGATCTTGTGTGTGTAAAGACTTGTAAATGCCCATGCATGCATAGGGGTGGTACTTGGTAGAGTTAGCATAGAAACTTGATAGATGACAATATGACATAATTTGTATTTGTTGGATTATGGCGAAAAGTAAACTTATATCTCAAAATTATTGTGTTTCAACTAATAGTCTTGCTACGCAAAAGCTGTACTATTTTAGCATTAAACGTATATAATTGACTCCTTAAACGATAGATAAGATTACCGTAGTCTCAGCTGAGTACACGTAAGCATGATGAAGCTAAATTCGAGGAACGTTACAGCCGACAAACTGTTACCGCCTCATGAATGCACACAGTCGCGCATTTACTCTCACTGACCTTAAGTTTCTTCACATTGATTCACGCACCGATTAAAAATTACGGTAAAGCCAATTATATTTTTTTTTTGTAGAAGTAAAATACTAATTTCCCTCAACTCTAAATTTGTTTTTTCCCTCCAACTCAGTAATTTCTCTTGAGCTATTGTTAAAATCGTAACTGCTTAATTTCTGAAAATATTATCATCCATGTGTTAAAGACATGTGATAAAACAAGCATGTGACTGCACACCCAAAATTAAACATAATTCCAATCCATGATTAAAATTTAAGATTAAACAAAAATGAACCGTTAAGGTCAGACGAATCACATTACCTTGTCCTTTCCTCAACTTCCTCATGTCAAGCCTAAATCGCCCGAACATAACCTTTTTCTTTAATCAATAATATAGTAATTAACTAATGAATCACCTTCTTCCTCTCCATTCTCAACTATCTTCTTTATAAATATCTCAGAATTCCCCGCCCTTTAAACACACAAACACACACACACAAAAAGAAGTGAATATAACAAGAAGAAGAAAAAAAATGGAAGAGGAAGATATATATTTCCCCGACACCGATCTTGATCTCAGCTTCACATCCACCGTCACCGACCGTACATTTGCCTCCTCAAGCGGACGCTCCAGCCTCACGCTAAGCTTCAACGACAGACTCTCAACTTCATCCGTCGTAACAAACTCCTCCACCTCCTCCTCCACCGTCAACCACCGTCGTCACGATCCTCACTGGTCGGCAATCAAATCGGCAAAACATCTCTCCTCCACCGGAAACATCCACCTCCGTCACCTGAAACTAATACGCCACCTCGGCACCGGAAACCTAGGCCGAGTCTTCCTCTGCAACCTCCGCGACTCCTCCGCAAGATTCGCTTTAAAAGTCATCGATCGAAACAACCTCACGACGGCGAAAAAGCTATCTCAAGTCGAGACGGAAGCAGAGATCCTCTCCTTGCTAGACCACCCTTTCCTCCCTACGCTCTACGCTCGTATCGACGAGTCTCACTACACGTGTCTCCTCATCGATTATGCTCCCAACGGAGACTTACATTCCTTGCTCCGCAAGCAACCTGGTAACCGTTTACCGATTCAGCCGGTTAGGTTCTTCGCCGCGGAAGTCCTCGTCGCCTTAGAGTACCTTCACGCAATGGGAATCGTATATCGAGATCTCAAACCGGAAAACGTTTTGCTCCGGGAAGACGGACACGTCATGTTGTCGGATTTCGATCTCTGTTTTAAATCCGACGTTGTCCCTACTTTTAAATCTCGCCGGTATCGGAGAACTTCTTCTTCACCGTCGCTCCGTCGGCGGAGGAGCGGTTGCTTCTCCGGGGTCGCGGCAGAGGATAAGTACGAGAGGGAGGAGATCGTGGCAGAGTTTGCGGCGGAGCCAGTGACGGCGTTTTCACGGTCTTGCGTCGGAACTCACGAATATCTTGCGCCGGAGCTAGTCTCCGGCAATGGACACGGAAGCGGAGTAGATTGGTGGGCCTTCGGAATATTCCTTTACGAGTTGTTGCACGGAACGACGCCGTTTAAAGGATGTAGTAAAGAGGAGACCCTGCGCAACATAGCATCGACCAATAAGAACATGAGTTTCCACGGTGATTCAGAGGAAGCGAAGGACTTGATCGAGAAGCTTTTGGTGAAGGATCCGAGGAAAAGGCTAGGATGCGCCAGGGGTGCGCAAGATATCAAACGTCATCCGTTTTTCGACGGGATTAAGTGGCCGTTGATTAGGCATTATAAGCCACCGGAAGAAGTTAGAGGTCTTGTGATTAAGAAGTCGCCGAGATCACATGCTGGTCACGTGACGGCAGTTTCACCGCGACGGAGGAAGTCGTTTTTGTGGAGGGCATTGTCTTATTTACTGCGCGGTAAAAGCTCTAGTGGTGGAAGTAAAAATCATAGCAACAGTAATTATTATCATTATGTAAGCAAAAGCTACGCGAGTCGCAAACGCGTTTAAGGCTGTCTTGCGTTTTTTTTTTCCTTTTTCAATTTTCTTAGAGGTGAAGCAACACAAACATAGAGATAGAGAGTGTATATGCGTATTACTATTAGTGAATGTATACAATAGGATGTTCAACGATTTTGTGTCTGAATATTATACCACAATACATAGTCTTCTAGACTTCTATCATATCTTCGTCTATATTCTACTGACTGCGTAAGTATCATTTCACTAACTCCAATCAAACGATTATTGGCTCTTAAGCAAGGTTTTCTAAAAGAAGACATGTAACTTCGTTTTTTCAGTTTACTGAACTAAACATTTGGTGACAAAGACGTTAAATATAACAATGATTTGAACATACTAGTTACTAATTAGAGACATATATATGGGTATTGGTCAAAAAAAAAGAGACATATATATGGGTCTAACCGTCTAAGAACCATACTTTTTTTTTTTTTACAAAAATGAAGTGGAGTTTAAGAAATTGGGCCTTACTGTTAGGCCGATTATATCTAAATGCAATTGAGTAAGAGGGATACTAGTAGTAGTAGTCCACATTGTATCCTTCGATTTATTGGAATGTGGGCGCATTATTTTGGGTGTAAGAAACAACATAATCAAAATTATGATTCTGGTTGGGCTTAGAATCATTAGACTCACAATAACATAACATATATATGTTAATACATACAACATGATTGAGAAGACTTTAGTTTGATCCAAATCTGTTATGATCCGGAAATTAATTCACGAAGTGACGCAGAATTGATTAGAAAAATGAGGAAGAAATCAAGAGGGATGATTGTGTTCTACCAGCTGTAAAACCGCAACGAATGATAGAGAAACGGGAACAGTCACAATCTCGCTTACAGAATTTGTTTTGCGTAATTTGACACTGGTTTAAAATAATGCTATTAAACCCTGATATGGTTGGTCCGACCACAATCTACAAAATATATTTCATTCTAGTTTTTGTGACCGGTTTATGATATATTTTAAAAAAAAAACCATTTAAAACTTTAAAAGTAGTTTACCAAGCTAGCAAGCCAAAGAAAAGTCCATTATCAACAAGTCAACAACCTATTTTGGTAGATTTTTTTTAAAAAACCTAAAATTCAACCATGCATACGTTTTTTTAACAACAAAACACGACGTTTCATTAAGCTGGTGGAGAAAATCCATACACATAAGAAAGCCAATTCAATACCGAGGAACTTACACATAGGAAAATATAACACCTTGTGCTCTTGTAACGGCAAAATTAAATTGAAGCAGTCAGTAACAAGGCGAATATCAGTCAATGAGATCGAGTTCGAAGTATTTTTATCATGATATAAATTAAATGGTCTAGCTATATATTTTTCGATCCGGTTTGATTCGGTGATTTGATGCTCTTAGATATTATTATTCAGTTTTGATCACATTGGTTGGAGTTGAGATTTGAAAAAATAAAAAAGGGAGAGAAGCGAAGCAGCTCAAGTGGAGAAGGCGAAGATAAGATTGCCGGTTGCATGTTCCCCTAAACCTAAACCCAATCTCAATGTTTTGTCTTCTTTCAACATCTCTCCTCTTTTCATGCCCACCTTTCTCCCTTTTCTACTCTTTCTGTAGATTGTGTTGAAGCCTATTAAACAATGTTGTTAAGTTAAATCGATCATTTCCTCTAAGGGTTAATAACAAATAATATTAATCAACAGCTGTGTTTACCGCGTTTCTTACATATAAATAAAGGCGCACCAAATAGTGTAGGCCTATTAAACAATATACTAGATTATTTAATTCTCTGATGAAGTTCATTTTAGAAGAGCAGAATTTTGAATTGTATACTTGTGCATCTTGTTCCTTTCCATACACAATACCGTATTCGAATTTCGGGTCTGATAAAACTGAATACAAAAAAATACGATTAACATACCACAGGAAATATTTTGAAAGGATTCGTAATTTTTTTTGGGATGATCTTCCAATTTTTTAATGGAATTTTTATTTGTTGAAGTTTGTTATGCTATCTTTAATGTATAAAAAAAAACATAAAATGTGGTATCTTAAAGATTTGTTATCTTGCAACCCATAATATAATATTAGACAATGACAGAATATAGTATTTTATGTCCAAAATTATGATTTCGTGAAAGTATAGTTCCTTGGAGATTTCAAAGCGAGCCATGCAAATCCCAATGAACCAAAAAAAATCAAGACCATGTTCATCTGCTCTGAATTCACTTCCTTTTTATTTACTACACCTCTTTCTTCTTTTTTCTTCTCTATAAATACTCTTCAAATTCTTCTCTCCTTCATTGCAACTCTTTCATTTGCACTCTCTTCCATCACCCACAAAAGGGTTTTTTTTTTGGCCTTGGGCACCCAAAGTCTCAACCTTAAACCAAAAACAAAGTCTGTGATCACTAATATAAACCTAATTATCAATCCCATGGCAGAATTCAAGAGAAAGTTCAACAAAGGTCATGCCTTTACAAGCAAATGTGTTTCCTTGGTGAAGGAACAACGAGCTCGTCTCTATATTCTCCGCCGTTGCGCAACCATGCTTTGCTGCTGGTACATCCATGGCGATGAATAGAGAGAGCCCATTGAGTTCTTCTTTCAAATTAACCTCTACATATCACTATATATATTTATATATATCCTTCCTCTCCATCTCTTCTTCTTGAGGCTCCATTGGATGTTGAAGCTCTCTCTGTTGGTGTTGGTGCTGGACTCTCTTTAGTGGCTGCATGCATGGCTTGATCCCCCTTCAAGAACTTTTGATTCTCTCTCTTGTGTTGGTGCAAAACCCTGCGATGTCTTTTTTAAACCTAAAAGTCAACTCTTTTGGTTTTTTTTTTTTTTTTTTGTTTCCATGGGGTATTTTGCATCAACCAAAGGAGAGAGAGACATTAACCTCCGATTGAGCTGGCGAAGTTTTTACTGTTTTTGGAATATAGCGAGAGACCCCATGGATGATGTTATGTGAAAAAGGAGTTTCATACTGTGAATTCTTCTGGAATAGTTTCATTTTGACCAATGAGTTTTGGGTTTAGTTTCATTTTGACCAGTGAAGTCTTTTCTAGTTTCATCTATATATGACCTTATGACCTTAGATCTTCTTGTTTGATTTTTGCCTTTGGTTGTAACTTGTAATTGTAACCCGATGCGGGATAAAGAATAATAACACGATGAATAAACTTTCAATTTTTGCAATGTAGATATATTGGCTCAAGCTCAAAATTGAAAAACTAAACAAACAAAAAAACATCTTAATTTATTTTACAAACCAACATTTTAACGGTTTACTCTAAGAACAAGGTTCAAGATCAAACAAAAACAGAGCACTGTTCAAAGAGGGGACATCTGAAGGTCATAATCCGGTCCAAGCCTGACCGAGTTAACGTAGTCACTCGTGCAATGATCCGACAGACCTGGAACAAACAGTCCCATGATCCTAAACAAAATCCTAAACCATCCTTCTTTATAATCCGGTCCATAGATAAACCCCATTGTCAAGCCTCTAACCAACTCCCAAACTGCGTTTACATGACCAAGAATCTCGTAACGCATACCGTAAGGGTTCGGATCCGGCTCATCCTCTGCTTTCTGTCAAACATCCAAGAAAAACCATCAATTTCACATTCCAAATCTGAAATCCGTAAGTTTTATATAAGTGATGATAACATTACTGTCTCGTTGTAGAAGCTATCGTAGTAAAGACAGAGTCCGAAATGTTTATAGAGGAACGTATTGTTGTCGTAAGGCAGTCTCGGTACAAGATCGTTGCAGTATACAACTCGAAAGTATCGGTCAACGGGGTGATTCAGTTGATCTTTCATGAATAACCCGACTTCTCTGTTCCCGATCCTCGGTTGTCCAAACGTGTAAACACCAAGCAGCCTCTTCATCATCTCTGTCTCCTCTTTCAACACAAGCAATGTGGGAAACAGCACAGCTAAAGCACCACCTAAGCTGTGACCTGTGACTACAAATTGGGCGTTTTCGTGTTCTGAAAGCAAACGTTTCAGAGTTTTTCGAACTGCGTAATAGGCGCTTCTCTCTACCATCTCTAGGAGATAGTCTTTATGATTCTCTTCCTCGGAGGAGTGTTGATCGGAGAGATGGTAATGGAAAGTGGGAGTGTCGTCTCTGGTACCTAAACCCATGGCTTCGATGAAACCCATGTGAAGCTTTCCCACATTTGGGATTTCATACCAAGAATAGTCGAAATCGGTTCCCCAATCGTCTGCATCAAAGGGCTCAGTGCCTCTGAAGCTTATTAGTATCAAGTTTGCATCTTTCTGCTTATCCGTAAGTATAAAAACTTGTGTAGACATCTGCTTCTGATAATCTGTGAACATAGACACAAAAAAAGAAAACACATCCACACAAAGTGTTCAAATATAAAGTGAAAACTGTTAAGAAGCTAAATCTTGCTATCTAATTCTCACCATTCCAACAATCCAAGAACTCCACCACATTCATCTGCAGACATTAAGACATGGAAACTTTTATTAAAGTTGGAAACTTTTTCCCACATGAAAATGTATCTGAAGTTTATATTCTTAAATAGCTTGCCTTCCAATGGAGATTAACGACATTTTCAACAACCTTGGCGTTCTCATACGCAAGCTTCGACGCCATCACACACAAATCCATAAGCCCACGATTTCCCGGTTCGATTCTAACCCTTGCAGAAGAACCCGAATCAATGCTCACCAACTGTTCGACGAAACTCCAACTCTTGTACAGATCAATTCGCCCATCAAGGTGCCCAATCGTACTAATAAACGTCACAGAGCCTCTTTCTGGTATCACAACTTTCGCTGCAACACAAAATCAATTCGCATTAAAATCATCCAAACTCATAAAAATGCGATTTTTTTTTCTTCTTCGTTTCTGTCAAAGTTTGTAACTTTACTTACCTTGAATAAACCCGAAAAGCAAACCGAAGAAGCCGCCATTGGCAGACAATAGATTGAGGAGAAAGTCAACGAAGAAACCTGTGTATTCCATTGGCGTTCGGAGAAGTCCGATGATCTTACGGACCAGAATCGAAACCACGATTACCCAACGGTGATCTTCCGCTTCCTCATCGATCACTGTCGTGTTCCTACTGGAGTATTCATCAGGCCATTCCAGGAACTTTTCCTTACTCGTTTCGTCGCCTCTCAAACCGTACCAAAACAGGTCTCTGTACCCACCTCGGTGAGGTCGAACGATCAAGTAGTTCGACCCGTGACCCGGATTCGAAGCCGAACCCGATTCGTTGTGTTGGTGCATGTCTCTGGTTCCCTCTCTTCTTTTGTATCCTATCAAATAGAAGGTAGCTTAATAATGTAATATGGATGAATGTATATGCATGCATATACCTCTCTGTTTGTATTTAGGCTTTAATTTGTTGCTTGTCTTTTTGGTTAAAGCATATTTTTAGTTAAGCCTCGTCACTATCGTATCAAGTACTGCAGATTCTGATTTTTTTTAGTTAGCTTGTAGCTTGTTTACTTTTCTTTTCTTTTTGTTTTTTAGATTATTTTTGTCAATGGGGAAACCAAAATAATTGTATCAGTAACGAACAAGAAAAACTAGTTTTGGAAAGTTCGACTAATTCGTAACCAAAACGAAAGTTGGACTAGTTAATGCGCTTTGGAGTCATCTGACCAAAAAGGAAAAAAAAACGACTTTTTTCACCTGCCATTCTTTTCAACTTTCAACTGAGTTGAGTGTATATTAAGGAACGTTTTCTTTTCATATGTTCTATGCGTAATAGATGAATCTCAGTTGTTACTTGTTGTATTCAATTGAGTCTATATTAAGGAACGTTTTCTTTTCATATGTTCTATGCCTAATAAATCTCAGATGTTACCAGAGCCGTATTTGAGATTTCTCTAACTACAAGCGAAAAGAAAAAATTAACCTTTTAAAACTTTTTTTAATACAGTTTAGCCCACAAATAATTAGCAAAAAGAAGAAAAAAATAACAAATATGCATTTGGAAAGAATTGAACCCAGCTAAACTTCTAACCAAACATGCTTTTACTTATTCACAAACCACTTAGACTAATTCAAACTCTGAAAAATTAGCCCTAAAAAAATATTTAACTCCTGTAACTCTGAAATACATGTTTTATTAGGTTGTGCTTAGCACGGCTCTTGGATGTTACTATGATACTTGTTACTTGTTACGGCTTATACTTCCAGCATTTCTTATAATAAATAAAAAAACAAACAAACAGTACTTTCTTCACTTTTACAGTTTACTATAAAGAACACTTAAATTGGATAACCGAAATATTATTAGCACCAAAAAGAATAATCGTTCTGTCAGGAGTCAGGACTAATGCAAGATAAACGTAGGCACCTCACACGTGTGACGTGTCGATGTTCAGAAAGTGGGCCTCTGTCCTCAACGGCCCAAAAATCCAAACATCTTACGTAGTCCATGTGTCATGTTGTTCTCGCTCTTTCTTACCCATCTTTTGACAAATGTTTCATTGCTATCTCACACTTTGCCCCAAAATAATCTTTTTTTTTGGACATCGCGTAAGATAGTCTTTCTAAGCTAAGATTTTACATAAATGTGTCACTTTACATGTATTGTCAAACGGTTTCCAATAATGCACATAACCTTTATTGGAGGAAATATTGAATCACATGTTTATTCAATTTTACGGCAAATCCCTATGATTGAGAATTTGGGATGATTGAGAATGTGCTTTTATGTTGTGGTTAGTGTAGAAGTATATTGGGTTTGGCAAGTAGATTTGATCGTTGTAACATAAAGCTGTGAGCACTTCGTCGTTTAAGGTGAAAGGACCGGCCGGTTAAAGCGGCACTCTCGACTCTCGCTATAGATTTATTAAAAAGGCTCGGTTTATATCATTTAATGCAAGGTTTGCAACTTTTTAAAACAAATAAAATTATCCTCTCTTGACATGCACGCAACACGTCGGTTCTGTCTCTTCTCAGTTCTCAATCCTTATTCCGAAAGAAAGTGTAAACTCTTCAACAAGCAAAGCATTTTTTCTTATGTATCTCTTTTCTCAGACGGCTAAATAAATAAAATGATTTGTACCGTTTTGTTTATCTTTTTGATTTTTAGTATTTAAAGTTCATACAGCGGAATTTTCAAAAAGAGGAGAGAAAATTCTACATCATATGGCAGAATATTTATACTTCTAGAATTTAAATGGAGGCGGATTATCTGTTCAGAATCTTTGTTGTGATAGCGTTAGTTGAATAGGCTATTTTGAATATGTAAACGATACATATATATATATATATATTATATATATATATATTCGTGTGTGTGTTCATAGGTTATACATATACCAAAACAAATGCTACAATTTTATGTAGTTTTTAATTAAGTTAATGGAGTACTGTTTTTCTTTGATTCTTTCTATGAGATTTTCTGGTGGACTTACTTGTTAACAAGTGGTTTATTTGATATTCCTAGAAACTAGTGTTGGAATAACTTTCAGTACTCTGTTTATATAAATTAAAAGAAATATTCTATCCGGTCCGTATGTAACACAAAAAAAAAACATATACAATGCCGAGTCTAGACTCCGAAAGAATAAAAAAAATAAAGAGCAGAGAGCCAGAGACTGCTAAGTTTGTATTACGAACTTACGAATAATTTATAGGATTCAGAGTCGCATAACGCTATATAGTGCAGATACTTTACTTATCAGAGCATCTCGTACACTCAGAATTTGATCTTACTTTTTCATGTGTAGGGTTAATAGACCAAATGAA